ACGTTCCGCCGCGACCGTTCGCTCGAGAGCTTGCAACGGAGCTTCGCCGTAGACTGGTAATTGAGTGTGTTGTGTGTGTGTGTGTGTGTTTGTGTGGTTATCTCTCATCTTGTTTTGCTAAAAATTTTGTTTATTGTATTTGACTGTTTTCTTTTCGATGTGCCTTCAGGGTTTGCGACTGTTCAATATCGATATGATTCGAGAGCATGGTTCCAAAGACAGATTTTATGTGATTGACATCAACTACTTCCCTGGTATGTGACAACAAGAACCGCTTGTCTGATTTATGTGCTGATGAACTACCATGTTGGTATGTAATAAACAAAAACTGCTTTTTCGATTATCTGCTGATAGGGGTTCTCTCTCTCTCTCTCTCTCTCTCTCTCTCTCTCGCTCTCTCTCTTTCTTTCTTTCTTGTGTCCATTTCAAAAATGGATACCTGTCTCTCTCTTTGAAAACTGGATACCTCGAGCCATGTAAACCATTTTTAAGATGATCGGATTACCTTGTAATTATCTTTTCCATAATTCGGATTATAGTATTTTTGTTCTTTTTTTATAAGTCCTCGTGGGCTGTTGCCAGTGGTGTGTCCACCATCTTAATGTTCAAGACTTTTTTGTTATGTTAAGCGATCGTTTCAGACTGAACTCCCGCAAATGGATCAATAAGTCCTGTTATTTATAGAGAGTGCATTGGATCTTTTGCAGGGTTAGGGAAAATGCCAGGATATGAGCACATATTCACGGACTTCCTCCTCACCCTCACTCAGAGAAAGCATAACTCCTTGGAATGTGAATAACTGCACTACACTGAAGAAGCATCTTACATTCTGACTTGCACAGTTACGCTCTTCCAGAGAGAGAGATCCCCAAAGAGGAAGTCGTATGTACAGTGTTTTGTTGGAGCTGGCAAATGGAGTCTAGTCTTGGGTGTGGCTTTGACGGTGTACTTATGATTATTTTGTATGTAACCCCACTCAAGGCGTTCATTTCGATTTTCATGCGGTGTCTATGTACATACAGTGATTGAAAACAACTGCTTTGTTAATTGATGCTTGATTGGCAACTGGTTTCTCCAGTTCTGGCCCTTTTTTTTTTAACTCATACTTGTCGTGCTTTGTGCAGTTTTGCTTTTCTTATTCAAAAGTCTGTCTTTTCTTTTTGCCTTTTTTTCTCATGAATAACAATGCATCAAGTTATGGGCGAATTAATAAGAAGTATCACTGTTAGGGAACAAATGTGTTTTATTGACGAATCAATACGAAGTCACTGGTAGTGAACAAATGTGTTTTATGGATGGGGGAATGATTTGGATCCTTACCAAAGTGTGGTCCCTTTATGCTGGATAGTTCATGTTGCTGATTTTACTAGGTTGATGCAGATGCTAATGTTGAGACACTCCTACGAAGTTTGGATAATGTTACATAAACATTTAGGGACTAAAAGAAACCAAACCAACACCATTTTATGAATAATTGAGTTTTAAGTATTTTATTGTTTAAAAATCAATCTGATCTATGGATCACAAGTTGCCTTTATTTTTACTGAGGATTGCCTGAGTGTATGCGGAACGATGGTTTGAGAGCAAATCAAACAAGCTGTATCTCTTGGTATTGCTTTTCGAGATGATGTATTTGGTAGGCTAGGTGTTGTCATCATTGAACCGGATCATTGGTAAAATTGAATCGCCAGTGAACTAGACTGCCACTGAAATTGGTACTCTGATGAGTAGGACTTGGACTACCAATAAATTGGACCGGTTTGAGCTGCTTGTCTTAGCTGTGTATGTGAATGGAAAATGGATTCTAATACTACGAGTAGAATAATTTTCCACAACATAATCAGTTGCACAATCTGGAAATCAAATATAGTTTTTCATTATTAGGACTTCATTAAGAGGACTTCTATACAATCTGGAAATTGAAACTTAATTCTTGAGATAAATTTTTCTTTTTTTTTTGAACAAGTGACTGTTTTCATTTATTAATGAAAAAAAGATACAACAGAAAGGAAAAAAAAGAAAAACAGAAAAAGAGAACAGAGAAGAAAGAAAAAGGATGAGACAGCCCAAAGATAGCCTCATCTCGTCATCTCGCAAGCACGTCAGCCTCCACATTCCTCTCCCGATGGACATGAGAGAACAACAAAACACAGTCGCCAAGGAAAAAGGTAATGCGATCTTGAATATGCATCCACCTCAGGGGGTACTGGCAGGGAACCGATACCACCTAATCATGTTGCGAGAATCCCCTTTAATGATAATCTGCTGAAAAGCAGTCCCTAGCTTAGAGACCCCAAAGAAAAGGGCCCAAGGCTCCGCTTCGTTAGCTGTGCAGGGATGCAAGCTGCCCTGGTATGACCAGATAGTAGCCCCCGTAGAGTCCCTTAGCAAACCCCCATACCTAGCAACCAGTCCATTCTCTCTAACACTGCTATCGAAGTTTAGCTCAACCCAGGCCGGGGGAGGGAACCATTGGCCATCTCTAATAAATTTCTTTCTTTTCAAGGCCAACAGATAAGGCACGTGAGAATCGACGAACTCTATGTGAAGTTTTGAGATAATTCATGTGAAGAATGAAAGAAGCTAGATAGAAAAGCTATCGGAACTATCTAACAATGATTGGATGATGTTCTTTTTTTTTTTTCACAATGTGTCGAGGGAGGCATCTGCCAAGTCATAATTGAAGAAGCCATGAGACTTGTATGAGAGAAAATATGCCAAAAACAAGATGTTTCTTATCTGGAAGCTAGTGAAGTTCAGGGATGAAAGCTCCTTTGAAGAGCATTTTAAATGGATGTAAAGCATCATCAATGAGATTGCGACATGAATATGACGTGCTTCAGGATGTATTGTTGCTTAGCTCGTCACAGGATAATAGAGATACCTTGATGATATCCTTTAAGTAACTCGGCACTGGATGAGAAAGTGACGATGAGTCATGGTCACAAGCATACTGAAGAAAGAAGAAGAACGATTATTTGACTCACCTACCTCACAAGCACTTGTCACAGATCGAGAGAGATCCAATAATTAGAATTACCGATCTACGTTTAAAGGAATATTGAAGTCCGAAGGGTATTACCTGCTATCACGGTGGAAAGAATAGAAAAGTGAAAAAAGATTGCCAAAAACTCAAAAGAATATTGAAAGAAGATATATACTGCTGTAGTTGTTGAATGCGATGTGATGTTGGTGTGGTCAGTAATTGTGGTGTTGATTGCAGCACGATTGCATCGGCTATTCACGATAGTTGGGGAGTATATGCACGAGTCTCCTTTTCATGTTACCTCACATAGGTACTATTTTCCATCTTACACGAGATTTTGGCTGTCTTATTGGGGAACGTTGGCTCTTCAAAAGTCGTGGGAAAAGGAGAAGTATACACCAGAATTGACATCGAGAGATGAAGTTAGTGCTAAAGGATGTCATACATGTGTTATATTTTTCATCTAAGCCTCATCTCAGGAGGATGCTTGGATATGTAGGTACCGCTCAATGTTTTGTAAACACATTCATATATTTATCCATGGCGAATGTCTATGCCGTCATGGACGAACCTTTATCAAACCTATAGAACAGGCGAATTGGGCACATGAGCGAGAAAGTTATGGAGATCATAGTAATGATGCAGATTCTTCTTTGCAATAAGAATGCATATCTGACCATGTTACCAAAAGGGTGCGGTTTGTATAGAGCCGATGCTCTACAATCAAATTAGAGCCCATCTTCAAATAGTGTCGAAAAATGTGGTTTCAATACTGAAAATTTTTATGATAGTATTAAATATAATTTTATCTTTAATTATAAAATTTAAAGCTCCAAAATAGTGCAGATCTAACAGATCTATGAGAACTTGAAAATTGACAGTCTAAAAATATGTTACAATATGCACTATTTCCAAAACGTGAAATCCATTTTTTTTTCTTATGTCCATACATCTTGATGTCGAGATGATCAATTTGAGGATATTTGGCCACCAAAACAACCTCTTCTAATGAAATTTTTGAGGTAGGCTCTAATTTGATTGTTTAGAGCCTCGACTCTATATAAACTTTTCCCTTACCAAAAAGAATGCTAAAGTAGATTGATAATTTTGGATTTAATTTGTTCAGAGGGGTTTGGTAGGCTTGAAGCCTTTTCATGATATATCATATTTCATTACTTTCATGGATAATGCATTTCAAATGGAGTGTGCAAATATCATAAAAATGAAAAATGTATGAGATCTTTCAACATTTCATGCCAATGTTTGAAAGTGTGCCTACCGAACAAGGGGTAGAATACACCTCAAATGTTTCTAAAAGCTACTATACTAAGCAAGGGATGAAAAGACAATTTCACGTACCCCGGTTCAATGGTATAACAAAAGAAATAAATGAGACAATTATGAAGAGAGTCATGAGCATGCTTTCCACTTCTAAGTTACCTAATCATAATAGGATGAACCTATCCTCAACACATGTTACTTGATAAATGCATCTTCATCAGGATAGTGTTATCCTAAAGAGAATTTGGACTGAGAAGGGCATTTCTTATTTACCTTGAATGTGTTCAAGTACAAGGCATTTGCACAAATGCTTAAATAATATAGACCTAAGTTGTAAGAGGAAGTATTTGGGCTACTCAAATAAAGAGTTCAACTACAGGTTAGACTCTAAAAGTAAGAAGTTGATCAAAGCAAAGATGTAGCCTTCCAGGAAGTTCTAACCATTGAAGACTCGACAATATCATAGACTTAGTCTTCCAAGAATGGAGATGTAATATTTTCTCTCCGATATTATCTCCCTAAATTCTTATATTTTTCTAGACTCTAAATTAATTATCCTTCTCTCTCTAACTTCGTGATTTTTTTCTCCCTTATTCCATCAAGCTAGGAATTTTTTATCCCATATATTTTTTATTTTATTTTAATAATTCAATGGGGGAAGACACATCCCTATCCGTTTTTTCAAATAATTTAAAAGTTAATTTTTTGAAAATATCAATGGGGTGGTGTCAATTGGAATGATGACTAAGATGTGGGAGTGTTACCACCATCACCCTGTTCTCTCTCACATACTTCTCCTATTGTATTTATCTCCGCATAAATCCCATAAAATACGACCCATAGGATTCCCACGTGATGTAACCCCACCTTAGGGAAAGGAAAACTGATAACTAAATCTTAAACAAATCCTCTGTTAATCGTATTAATTGAGTACTTTAACACTCTAATCCATAACAAATAATAAAATTCAATTTTGTCCCCTCAATATTTTAACCCAATAACAATAATTTGGAATGCATCCATGTCCTTCAAATGAATAGATAAATGAACTTTAATTTAGCCTTCTCCTTTCATGCATCCGATCTCCATGGGACTGTTGCTCCTTGAAGAGTGAAATCCATCCACTCGTGGGCATATGTTTATCATAATCTTTATTCCAATTAGCATTTTTGTATTATTTTAGAAGATGAGATACTTCTTATAGTCTAGCCCATAATCAATAGTATGCCTTAGATATCTCAATACTTTATATATTGCATTTCAATGAGCATGACTAGGATTATTAGTAGATCTACTTAGCTTTTCTACAGCATATATAATAGGGAAAATGCTTTAAATTGTGATATTTTATCTATTGTTAGGAATTTTAAATCCTGTAAATTCTTAGAAATAAATTTATTTTTCATGTCTATTGTTGAGAATTTTAGATACAGTACATTATTAGAAATAAATGTGATATTTCCTCTTTTAGTAAATTTGTGAGATTTCCCTACCGTTTTTTAATATTTAGACATTCTAAAATTTATGTGCAAATGACTACCTTATTTGAAAAATTGATATTTTTGCACTTGATTGTAATATTGCCTATGATATGATTATTTGATAATTGGCAATTCCATAAATTGTGATAATTTCGTATTTAATTTTTGATTCTCATAAGGGTTCTTCTATTGATACTAGACTGTTATCATGTTAGATTTCAAGATTGTCCTTCAGAACTGCTACCTTTCAGAAATTATTGCCAAAATGTTTGAATGGTTTCTTATAGATATTTCAATGAATGTAATTGTTTAAATTGCTTCAAGTGAATTCATGTTAATGATTTTAATGAT